GAGATGAAGAGAATGAAGTGATGAAAAGTCGAGTTCAGATGTAGAAGGACAATGTTTAGTTGCTGCGTAAGATGTGGTAGCTCAGTGTTATTTTTATTTAAACTGAGTATCTAGTGGGTGAATTCTACCAAACCTTAGCTAAAAGATTCTGAAAAGATCGTTGTCAAAAATATGATCACTGCATGCTTGCCCAAATAGGGTAATAGTGGTTCGCGACCCGCAAATACGTATAAAACCCGATCATTTCGTTACTATACGGAATGCTTATCAAGGCTGAAAGATTCGTTGCATAAAATCAGAAAAAACAACTATGAAAGAGAGTAACAAAAATTAAGGCAGATATAGATAACTGCGAAGCAAATTCTGCTGAACTTGTTTGCAGCGAAGCTTGCTCTCGCGAACGATTTTCCTTTTTGCAAAAATCCCAAAATTCCGAGATCGTTATAGGATATCCTCTAGAAATTGGCAATCGGTAATCGGTAGTATTCATCCGATAAACGAGATCATCGCGGATGAAGTACAATTCTAAAACAGTGATTTCAAACTAAAACAATTTTCCTAAGAATAAATGATTTTGCCTTTATCACGACTAAAGGCGGCTGTTGCCCCATCAGGAACATTCTTCCAGTTCAGACTTATGCGTCTGGCGTATGAGTCTTCTACTTTCTTGGTTCTTATGTCCAGCTTCCAGTATTCATCCTCAGCCCATAAATAAGTGGCTGGTGGACTGAAAAATTCCAGAGTTTCTTTTCAATGACAAAATGCAGGTTATCAACAACCTACTCAAAGTAGTGCCAACGATAGGCTAATCGTATCCTTGGCACGTTTCCTGGGATTCCCAAATGGCTTAGCGGTCTGGGTCCGTGGAGGAGACGCCGCTCAGAGAAGACCCAATAATGCTTCCCTGAAAGCGTCTCATTTTCATCGAATTGTCCGACTTGGTCAAAATATACCAGCAAAAATCCATATTTGTCCATGAATTTCCACAGCAGCATCTACTTTTTCGGGAATTCCTGGAAAGATATCCGAGATCAAGTTTGGTCCATACAGAGTTT